GGTCTAGGCCCGAAACGTCAGCCTTCCTGCTCCTCTAATGCTGCTTGGTCTGCTGTGTTCATCCAGCTCTACACCTTGTTATCTCACTTAACTAAGACATGCGTTTGACCTGAGTCACTCTCTAAAAATACACCCAGTCTGAAACGGTATGGGAGCCGGCCACCTCTTTGTGGTATAGTGCTTCCGTGCACAGGTTGGGGAAACAGTGGACAGAGGAGGGGTACAGAAATTAACGAGGGGGAGGAAAGCTAGGCCAGGAGCAGCCGGCACAGGAAGCAGTCCCTCCCACTCCCCCGGCCTCGTTAAACACGAGCCCCACTCACCCAAAAGACGTCGGAGCCTCCTATGCTGCAAAAAGCCTCCATGCTGCCGGCTCCTCTGCCTGCTTCTTCCTGCTGTTAAAGGGATGGCACTCCAGTGCTGCCGCTCATTGGCTCCTGCGTCCAGTCCCCAGGGCTCAGCTTCCTCCTCCCACCACTCCGGCACATGCAGGGTTAACGCCCTCGCTCTTTCCAAAATAAAAAGCACAAAAGAGAAACTTTCAACCCAGTTGCTTGCAAGAATATATCACCGGGTTCATCTGTAAGCATTATCCTTCCCAAACCCAACAGAGACAAGCACAATTAATGTACGTCCCAATCTGCAAAACATTGCGTGTGTACAACCTACGTTCTCAGCGCCTGATGCAGTCTGCAAGGGGAACGTCAATTTGCCCAATAAAATGTACCATCGTTTAGGGCAATTATTTGCCTCTGGCTTTTTGAATGCTTGTGATTTGTTCTGTGATGCTTTTGCCATAGACACCTGCAATTCCAAAACTGCATTGACTCCCCACCAATACGCATATATCTTTCGTAAGATTCCACGAGGAACTAAGCAAAGTCCATGCCCCTGAAAGGAAAAACGTTATAGTTTTCTCCAATGTTTATGAAAAAAAAATCTGTAAGAGTGCTCCCCTACAGAAAAAGGAGAATTTATTGTATAACAAATCTGATAGACAAATAAACACAATTTTTCTTCATTGACCAGAGATGAGGAGGAATTTCTTCTCTCAGGGTTGAGAGTTTTTGGAACTCTTGCCACAGACAGCTGTGACAGCAAAGTCCTTATACATATTTAAGGCTGCAATAGATAGATTCTTGATCCATCAGGGAATCAAGGGTTACAGGAAAGTGGACATGAAGAATGTCCAATCATCCATGATCCTATTGAATGGCAGAGCAGGCTCAAGGGACAAAATGGCCTACTCCTGTTCCTATTTCATATAGACCAGTCCGGGCCATATGTCAAACATACCAGTGTACACTGTATACTCCTACCTGCTGGGTTGGTCATCTTACACTGACCCAGCTACCAAAGAGAGCTAGGCATCTAGTGATCACTCCCAGCAGCTGAGTCCAACCTGGATGGTCACTTTGGCCAGTTGCAAGCAGATTAAGGAGGAGATCCTCTCTCTAGCCCACTTCCGTCTGCACCAAATTCAGGAGCATGGGACTGAAGTGAAGCCAGATGCTAACAGAATAAGGATTGTATGTTCTTGCTGATGCGATAAATGGACTCACCCAAAAGTTACAAATAGCCTGGAAATCCACAAATTTGACATGGAACATTTGGGTGAAACGCGCTCTACTCCAGATTGCGAATGAGCCAGGGGGCACCCATGTTGCATGCCCTCCACTGGCGACACCTGAATCTGCAATAACAACCAAAAAAGAATCCCCCTCATCCTCATGTACCACCCCACCAACCTCCGGATCCACAACGCATCATCCTCCGACACTTTCGCCATCTGCAATCTGACCCCACCACCAAAGACATTTTTCCCTCCCCACCCTTATCTGCTTTCCAGAGGGACCACTCTCTCCATGACTCCCTTGTCCACTCCACACTCCCCTCCAGCTCCACCACACCCGGCACTTTTCCCTGCAACTGCAGGAAGTGCTACACCTGCCCCCACACCTCCTCCCTCACCCCCATCCGAGGCCCCAAGAATACTTTCCACATCAAGCAGATGTTCACCTGCACATCTGCTAATGTGGTATACTGCATCCGCTGTGGCCTCCTCTACATCGGGGAAACCAAGCGGAGGCTTGGGGACCGCTTTGCAGAACACCTATGCTCGGTTCGCAATAAACAACTGCACCTCCCAGTCGCAAACCATTTCAACTCCCCCTCCCATTCCTCAGACGACATGTCCATCCTGGGCCTCCTGCAGTGCCACAACGATGCCACCCGAAGGTTGCAGGAACAGCAACTCATATTCCGCTTGGGAACCCTGCAGCCCAATGGTATCAATGTGGATTTCACAAGCTTCAAAATCTCCCCTCCCCCTACCGCATCCCAAAACCAGCCCAGCTCGTCCCCGCCTCCCTAACCTGTTTTTCCTCCCACCTATCCCCTCCTCCCACCTCAAACCACACCCCCATTTCCTACCTATTAACCTCATCCCGCCCCCTTGACCTGTCCATCCTCCCTGGACTGACCTATCTCCTCCCTACCTCCCCACCTACACTCACCTTTAGTGGCTCCATCCCCACCTCTTTGACCTGTCTGTTTCCTCTCCACCTATCTTCTCCTCTATCCATCTTCTATCCGCCTCCCCCGTCTCCCTATTTATTTCAGAACCCCCTTCCCCTCCCCCATTTCTGATGAAGGGTCTAGGCCCGAAACGTCAGCCTTCCTGCTCCTCTGACGCTGCTTGGCCTGCTGTGTTCATCCAGCTCTGCACCTTGTTATCTGCAAGGCAGCATGTTCAGCCACAAGACAAGAGCCAGGAAATGCAGATACAAAAACAGAGATTGCTGGAAAAACTCAGCAAGTCTGGCAGTATCTGTGGAGAGAAAGCAGAGTTACCATTTCAAATCTCATGACCTTTCTCCAGGAATTGTAAATTCTACAGAAGACTGTGTCGAGAATCCTTTAATTCAGAGTGTAACAGTCTGGAGAGAATGACAGAGAGACAGACCAAGTTGTGTGGGAAAGGCACCTGAGCAATGTTTCAAGCCTCAGGCGAACAAAAGTTTCTGTCCATTCAGGGTTCAGTTTGGACAGCAAAATCCAGAAATCAGAAAGAATTTAAGTAAAAATAATTTCTAAAATGTTTAGAAAACATTTAGTCCTCTCAGTCGAGAAGCAAAGCGGTGATTGTTTATATATCAATACTTAAACATTGTAATATGGAAACAGTCAGTCTTGTCCAATAATCTATATCAGTCTAATTGTATTTACCAACTCTGGACCCATATCTCATCAATTCTTAAGAAAACATGAAATAGGTACAAGAGTAGCCATATGGCCCCTCAGTCAATAACATCTGTCCCAGGCCTCAACTAGTCTTTTGTGCCAGTTCCTCCTAGCTCTCAACTCCCCAATATTTTAAAAAAAACTCTCTACCTCCTAAGTACTTTCCATGATCTATTCTCCATAACTGTCATTCACTGCCCTCTGAAAGAAGAAATTCCTTCACATCTCAGTTTTAAATGGGTATCCTCTTGTTCTGTAACTATGTTCCCGAGTTCAAGAACTATTCCTTTAAACTAATTAATAAACTCCTTACCTGTCTAGCCATTGATGTCAACTACTTCTTCTCAGCAATCAGCCTAGAGAATCTCTTTTGAACTGCCTTCACTGCCAATATATCTTTTCTTGAAAATGGGGACTAAAACCATACACAGTACTCCAGGTGCAGGCTCACAACACCCTGTACAGTTGTAGCGGGGCTTCCCTACTTTTAAACTCCAATTCCATAGCAATTATGAACTAAAATTCTATTTGCCTTTTTAACTACTTGCCTTTTAATCTGCATACTTGTTCTGTATGTTGCATGCACAAGAATACTCACATCTCTCAGTGCTGCACTTATTTGGAGCCTCCCTTAATTTCTTTCTAACAAAGTGACCTCATACTATCCTACATAAACTCCATTTGCCAACTTTTTGCTCATTCAACCTATTTATATCCCCTTGCAGATTCCTTACATCCTCATCACAAAATACTCTCTCACCAATTTTGTGTCATGAAAATATTTGGATACATTACACACCAGCCCCTCTCCCAAGTCATTCATAGAAATAGTGAATAAATAAGGCACTAGAACTGATCTTCATTGGAACTCCACTAGCAACATCTCTCTAGCCTGAAAAAGACCTATTAATCTCTGTCTTCTGTGCGGTAACCAATCCTCAATCCACGCAAACACATTATCCCCAATCAGTGAGCTCCCATCTTGTGAAATAACCTTTCATGTGGCACCTAATCATTTTTTTAAAGTTTATTCACTCATGGGGCATGGGTATCATTGATTGGGTGCAGCATTTATTGCTCATCCCCAGTTGCCCTTGAGAAGGTAGTGGTGAGCTGCCTTCTTGAACCACTGCATTCCACCTGCTGTGGGTTGACCCACAATGCTGTTAGTGAGGGAATTCCCAGATTTTGATCCAGCAACACTGAAGGAACGGCTATAAATAATAAACCCACTGGGTTCATTAATGTCCCTTAGAGAAGGAAACTGCCGTTCTAACCTCGTCTGGCCTACATGTGACTCCAGACCCACAGCAATGTCGTTAACACTGAACTGCCCTGTGGGGAGTTACAGATGGGTAAAAATGTTGAACTGGCCATTGAAGTCCACACCTTGTGAATGAATTTAAAAAAAATTCCAAGTCAGGATGGTGAGTGACTTGGAGCGGAACTTGCACGTGGTGGTGTTCCCATATATCTTCTGCCCTTGTGTTTCTAGGTGGAAGTGGTTGTGGGTTTGGAAGCTGCTGTATAAGGATCTTTGGTAAATTTCTGCAGTGTATCTTGCTGCTACTGAGCGTCGGCGGCGGAGGGAGTGAATGCTTGTAGATGTGGTGCCAATCAAGCCGGCAGCTTTGTCCTAGATGGTGTCAACCTTCTTGAATGTTATTGGAAATGTACTCATCCAGACAAATGGGGAGTATTCCATCACACTCCTGACTCGTGCCTTGTAGATGGTGGGCACTCTCTGGGGAGTCAGGAGGTGAGTTACTCACCTCAGTATTCCTAGCCACTGACCTGCTGTTATACCCACTGTGTTCATGTGGTGAGTCCAGTTGAGTTTCCGGTCAATGGTAACTCTTAGGATGTTGATAGTGGAACTTCAGTGATAATAACACCATTGAATGTTAAGTGGTGGTAGTTAGATTGTCTCTTATTGGAGATGGTCATTGCCTGCTATTTGTGTGGTGCAACTGTTACTTAATATTTCTCAGCCCAAGCCTGGATGTTGTCCAGATCTTGTTGCATTTCGACATCAACTACTTCAGTATCTAAGGAATGGTGAATGTTGCTGAACATTGTGCAATCATTGGCAAACATCCCAATTCTGGCCTTATGATGAAGGGAAGGTCACTGATGAAGCAGCTGAAGATGGTTGGGCCTAGGACACTATCCTGAGGAACTGCTGCAGAGATGTCCTGGAGCTGAGCTGACCTCCAACAACTGCAAACATCTTCCAATATGCCAGATATGACTCCAACCAGCCGG